AAATCATCACGGAACCACCCCCAAAGCGATCCCTCTCCATGACACAGGCTTGAGCATAATGCTTCCCAAGATGTCTGTCGATACCCTGACCTCCCTCGCAATTTAAATGTTAAATCTGTTTTGTTCAGGATAGGTCATATGGCAGGACGATGCGGCTGTATCCCATCATGATGTAAGTGGTTCCTGACTGTGTTGGGGTGGATACGCCAAATTCCTGGAATGGCCTGAGCAGTGGTCACTGCAGTCTGGAACCTGTTCTGTAGATGGATCACCTGTATCCATCTGTCCTGTCTTGGTTGTGATGTGTGGACGTCCTGCACGTGGGCAACTTCATTATTGTTCTGATAACGTCTCAACAGTGCTTAAATGATGTTTTGGTGGCAATGGAAATGTGCAGCCACCATGACGTTGAACAATTAAACGTCAAACAAATACTGTAAATCTTGAAATTAACGCGAGCGTGAATTAAATGCAAAAAATGCGTGTGGTCTTTCCTCGCATTATTAAACATCGCATTTATATCAACAATAAGACATTTTGGATAGCAAAAATACCAACTTAGACATATGCTGAAAACAAACAACTATGTATTCCACATCACTATTTATTGAGCAGCACTTGTTACAAGTACAAGCGTCATCACTGATCACACCTGCAAGTCCAGACAGACGCCACCCAACACGATTCTTTAAGCTGAAGTACTCTACCCAGCGCTAATAAGCGGTGCTATGTGGTGTGTGATTGGATTAATGTAAGGTTGGATTAAGGTGAGGTTTCTCCTGTAAACCTGACAGAGGACATTTTGTTTAGATAGAAATCCACTGATGCTTGAGAGGAGGGGGTGTCGCATTCATATTGAGTCGCATTTTTGGCTAGGGGCCAGCGGTCGCATTCTTTTGGAGACGCATTAATTTTCACGTTTTACAGTAAGCTTCCCACAACGACTGCAGTTTTTGACATTCATGTGCTTCACGTAGTGTATTGAGGTGACATGCACAAACATGTTGCACCTGGCCATGCCGAAACCAATGACGTAAAAAAACACAGCACACACAATTCATTTTACTAATTACTGTGTTTTTCATCTGTATTTGTGTTTCTCTTTGTGGCTAGTATGAAAAACTTCATGCACAACTGCCACAAATTAAGATATAGTGGTAGCTGTTCAGTAATACCCGACACCCACTGTACCTGTGGCTTATAAGTGACTTATCTGTGTACATTGGTTGGTGAGAAAGGCTTACTGATGTACATTGGATGGAGAGAAAGGCTTACTGATGTACATTGGTTGGAGAGAAAGGCTGAGTGATGTACATTGGTTGGAGAGAGAGACTTATCTGTGTACATTGGTTGGAGAGAAAGGCTTACTGATGTACATTGGTTGGTGAGAGAGACTTATCTGTGTACATTGGTTGGAGAGAAAGGCTTACTGATGTACATTGGTTGGTGAGAGAGACTTATCTCTGTACATTGGTTGGAGAGAAAGACTTCATGATGTACATTGGTTGGTGAGAGAGACTTATCTGTGTACATTGGTTGGTGAGAAAGGCTTACTGATGTACATTGGTTGGAGAGAAAGGTTTACTGATGTACATTGGTTGGAGAGAAAGGCTGAGTGATGTACATTGGTTGGAGAGAAAGGCTTACTGATGTACATTGGTTGGTGAGAGACACTTATCTGTGTACATTGGTTGGAGAGAAAGGCTTACTGATGTACATTGGTTGGTGAGAGAGACTTATCTGTGTACATTGGTTGGAGAGAAAGACTTACTGATGTACATTGGTTCGTGAGAGACACTTATCTGTGTACATTGGTTGGAGAGAAAGGCTTACTGATGTACATTGGTTGGTGAGAGAGACTTATCTGTGTACATTGGTTGGAGAGAAAGACTTACTGATGTACACTGGTTGGTGAGAGAGACTTATCTGTGTACATTGGTTGGTGAGAAAGGCTTACTGATGTACAGTAAACTACGGTTATAACGAACTCAAAGGGACTACTAATTTTAGTTCGTTATAACCGTAGTTCGTTATAAGTACATATACAGCTTGACTACAGCAAGTAGTCGGGACCAAAAAGTAAGTTCGATATAAGCGTGTTCGTTATAACTGTAGTTTACTGTACATTGGTTGGTGAGAAAGGCTGAGTGATGTACATTGGTTGGAGAGAAAAGCTTACTGATGTACATTGGTTGGTGAGAGAAAGGCTGAGTGATGTACATTGGTTGGAGAGAAAGGCTTACTGATGTACATTGGTTGGAGAGAAAGGCTTACTGATGTACATTGGTTGGAGAGAAAGGCTTACTGATGTACATTGGTTGGTAAGAAAGGCTTACTGATGGACATTGGTTGGGGAGAAAGGCTTACTGATGTACATTGGTTGGTGAGAGAGACTTACCTGTGAACATTGGTTGGTGAGAAAGGCTTACTGATGCACATAAGTTGGAGAGAAAGGCTTACTGATGGACATTGGTTGGTGAGAAAGGCTTACTGATGTACATTGGTTGGTGAGAGAGACTAATCTGTGTACATTAGTTGGAGAGAAAGACTTACTGATGTACATTGGTTGGTGAGAGAGACTTATCTGTGAACATTGGTTGTTGAGAAAGGCTTACTGATGCACATTGGTTGGAGAGAAAGGCTGAGTGATGTACATTGGTTGGAGAGAAAGGCTTACTGATGTACATTGGTTGGAGAGAAAGGCTGAGTGATGTACATTGGTTGGAGAGAAAGGCTTACTGATGCACACTGGTTGGTGAGAAAGGCTGAGTGATGTACATTGGTTGGAGAGAAAGGCTTACTGATGTACATTGGTTGGGGAGAGAAAGGCTGAGTGATGTACATTGGTTGGAGAGAAAGGCTGAGTGATGGACATTGGTTGGAGAGAAAGGCTTACTGATGGACTTTGGCTGGAGAGAAAGGCTGAGTGATGGACATTGGTTGGGGAGAAAGGCTTACTGATGTACATTGGTTGGTGAGAAAGGCTGAGTGATGTACATTGGTTGGAGAGAAAGGCTTACTGATGTACATTGGTTGGTGAGAGAAAGGCTGAGTGTCGACATTGGTTGGAGAGAAAGGCTTACTGATGTACATTGGGTGGAGAGAAAGGCTTACTGATGTACATTGGTTGGAGAGAAAGGCTGAGTGATGGACATTGGTTCGAGAGAAAGGCTTACTGATGGACTTTGGTTGGAGAGAAAGGCTGAGTGATGGACATTGGTTGGGGAGAAAGGCTTACTGTTGTATATGGTTGGTGAGAGAGACTTATCTGTGAACATTGGTTGGGGAGAAAGGCTTACTGATGGACTTTGGTTGGTGAGAAAGGCTTACTGATGTACATTGGTTGGAGAGAAAGGCTGAGTGATGTACATTGGTTGGAGAGAAAGGCTGAGTGATGTACATTGGTTGGGGAGAAAGGCTTACTGATGGACATTGGTTGGTGAGAAAGGCTTACTGATGTACATTGGTTGGAGAGAAAGGCTTACTGATGTACATTGGTTGGTGAGAGAGACTTATCTGTGTACATTGGTTGGAGAGAAAGGCTTACTGATGCGCATTGGTTGGAGAGAAAGGCTTACTGATGCGCATTGGTTGGAGAGAAAGGCTTACTGATGTACATTGGTTGGAGAGAAAGACTTACTGATGTACATTGGTTGGTGAGAAAGGCTTACTGATGTACATTGGTTGGAGAGAAAGGCTGAGTGATGTACATTGGTTGGGGAGAAAGGCTTACTGATGGACATTGGTTGGTGAGAAAGGCTTACTGATGTACATTGGTTGGAGATAAAGGCTTACTGATGTACATTGGTTGGAGAGAAAGACTTACTGATGTACATTGGTTGGAGAGAAAGGCTTACTGATGTACATTGGTTGGTAAGAAAGACTTACTGATGTACACTGGTTGGAGAGAAAGGCTTACTGATGTACATTGGTTGGTGAGAGAGACTTATCTGTGAACATTGGTTGATGAGAAAGGCTTACTGATGCACATTAGTTGGAGAGAAAGGCTAACTGATGGACATTGGTTGGTGAGAAAGGCTTACTGATGTACATTGGTTGGAGAGAAAGGCTTACTGATGTACATTGGTTAGTGAGAAAAGCTTACTGATGTACATTGATTGGTGAGAAAGGCTTACTGATGCACATTGGTTGGTGAGAGAGACTTACTGATGTACATTGGTTAGTGAGAGAGACTTATCTGTGTACATTGGTTTGGGAGAAAGGCTGAGTGATGTACATTGGTTGGAGAGAAAGGCTTACTGATGCACATTGGTTGGGGAGAAAGGCTGAGTGATGGACATTGGTTGGAGAGAAAGGCTTACTGATGTACATTGGTTGGAGAGAAAGGCTGAGTGATGCACATTGGTTGGAGAGAAAGGCTTACTGATGTACATTGGTTGGAGAGAAAGGCTTACTGATGTACATTGGTTGGTGAGAGAGGCTTACTGATGTACATTGGTTGGTGAGAAAGGCTGAGTGATGCACATTGGTTTGTGAGAGAGACTTATCTGTGTACATTGGTTGGAGAGAAAGGCTTACTGATGTACATTGGTTGGTGAGAGAGGCTTACTGATGTACATTGGTTGGTGAGAAAGGCATACTGATGCACATTGGTTGGGGAGAAAGGCTGAGTGATGTACATTGGTTGGAGAGAAAGGCTTACTGATGCACATTGGTTGGGGAGAAAGGCTGAGTGATGGACATTGGTTGGAGAGAAAGGCTTACTGATGTACATTGGTTGGAGAGAAAGGCTGAGTGATGCACATTGGTTGGAGAGAAAGGCTTACTGATGCACATTGGTTTGTGAGAGAGACTTATCTGTGTACATTGGTTGGAGAGAAAGGCTTACTGATGTACATTGGTTGGAGAGAAAGGCTTACTGATGTACATTGGTTGGTGAGAGAGACTTATCTGTGTACATTGGTTGGACAGAAAGGCTTACTGATGTACATTGGTTGGAGAGAAAGGCTTGGAAGGACTGGGGGTTGAGTGTGGCTTACCTGAGTATGTTACGATGAGCGAGACGGTTCATCAGCTGGACCTCTCGCAGGACGTTGGCCCGATTGCTCTCTTGCTTGTTCATCTTGAGGACCATCACCTGGCCTGTCATGCGATGGGTCACCTGATAAACAAAACAAACACGTACTGTACAAGAAAATCTGACATCTATATCTTCAATGGACAAGTCTACTGTTGAGATCTCCTAGTCTGGAGATTAATGAACACATTTTTCTCCAACATGCATACTGCAGTAAGTAAGTAAGGATAAGAATTTATGGATGAACAACTTCTTTATTACCATTAAGAACGACGTTTCGGTGTAGGTTCTAACACCGTTATCAAGTAATATCACTTGCTTTATAACGGTGTTAGAACCTACACCGCAAACACAAGCTGCCCTAAATTTCAAGCCTACAACACAAAAGTCAGGGTTGCTATTATACTATTTAAATTTTGAAAAATTATTTGATTTTTTATGTTATACATTTTCTGTGCCATGTTTATTTACAAAATATCACTAGCTTTTCATGTATCTAATCTAACAAATGATAGTATTCTTTACAATTATTGTTCAATTGTAGTAAATTCACATATTTGTCATGTCAAGTCTGCATAAAACATGTATAGTTGTCTTGAAGAAAGTATATGAAAATATGCAAAAATAGAGAAAACTCATAAATGAGCTTCATAAAAATTGCATGTCACCAAAGAAAACACAAAGATATAAAAAGCATGCTTTGGGATGACTGCTCTCGATATTTAAGGCCAATGTAGCACAGAAGATGAACCTTGGACTGGTCATCTGAGAGATACCCAAAGTTGAGGCTGTCTACCTCATGGTTATTGCTGACTGACAATTAGCATACCACTGACAGTATGGGCTCAGTACAGACCATCTTAACTGACACATTCCACATGAGAAAGATGGCCGCAAGATGGGTACCCAGAACAGTGACAACAGATCAGAATTTGATGCGTCTGAAGATATAAAGGGACCTAATGAATACTGACAATTTTTTACTCAAAGTTTAATAGTGAAAACATTTTGGCTCACCCCAACCAAAGCAGTAAGCATGCTAAGGGGATAATCATGATATAGTATCTGCATTGAAGTTAGACTACCAATGGGCAATACTATGCCACAGAGCAATGTCAGTTACTGCTTCTGGATTATGTTTCAGGACAATGATTCCTAATGTGTCCTGCTTCAAAGATGCAGTGCTTAATGATCCATGTGTACCCCGTCCTGCACTACTTCAAAGATTCATGTATATCCCATCACACTGCTTCAAAAATTCAGGTGTATCCAGTCTCCCACAGTGCTTTAATGATTCCTATGTATTCAAGTGTTTGAAAGGCATTTAGAAGTGATACATGTAAGGAAGAGAATTTTGTGGATGTCAACCTTTTTTATTATGAAGAACACTACATTTCGGAGTATATACATACTCCTTCATCAGGTGAACAAAATGCTATGCGGCAGAAAACATATATATGTACCTGGAAGAACAAAAGTAATAAGAGTAAAAGTAATAAGTCTTTCAGTGCTTCAAAGATTCATGTGTATCCAGTCCCACAGTGCTACAATGATTCATATGCATATAAGGTCCCACACTCAGGTGATTTGAGGTGTACAGAGTCCTGCAGTGGTTCAATGATTAGTCTGTAACCAGTCATGCACTGCTTAAAGTGTATAAGGTCTCACACTCATTCAATGATTTAGGTGTACCGAGTCCTGCAGTGCTTCAATGATTCATGTGTATCCAGTCCTGCGCTGCTACTATGATCTATCTATATCCAGTCCCCCACAGTGCTTCAATGATTCATGTGTATCAAGTCCTGCGCTGCTTCAATGATTCATGTGTATCCAGTCCCCCCAGTGCTTTAATGATTCATTTGTATCCAGTCCCAATAGTGCTTTAATGATTCATGTGTATCCAGTCCCCAAAAGTGCTTCAATGTTTCATGTGTATCTAGTCCCCATAGTGCTTCACATGTGTATCTAGTCCCCCATAGTGCTTTAATGATTCATGTGTATCTAGTCCCCCACAGTTCTTCAATGATTCATGTGTATCCAGTCCCCCACAGTTCTTCAATGATTCATGTGTATCTAGTCCCAAATAGTGCTTCAATGATTCATGTGTATCTAGTCCCAAAAAGTGCTTCAATGATTCACTTGTATGTAGTCCCCATAGTGCTTCAATGATTCATGTGTATCCAGTCCCCCCACAGTTCTTCAATGATTCATGTGTATCCAGTCCCCCACAGTTCTTCAATGATTCATGTGTATCCAGTCCCCCATAGTGCTTCAATAAATCATGTGTATCCAGTCCCCACAGTGCTTTAATAATTCATGTGTATCTAGTCCCCCACAGTTCTTCAATGATTCATGTGTATCTAGTCCCCCACAGTTCTTCAATGATTCATGTGTATCTAGTCTCCCATAGTGCTTCAATGATTCATGTGTATCTAGTCCCCATAGTGCTTTAATGATTCATGTGTATCCAGTCCCCCATAGTGCTTCAATGTTTCATGTGTATCCAGTCCCCCACAGTTCTTCAATGATTCATGTGTATCCAGTCCTGCTCTGACATGTGATATTCCTTATCCCGATCACCCCAATAGTAGACTTCTGCTAGGCTAATCTTTCTGGAAACAGTGAGGGAGGTCTTGTAACATCATAGCAACACATTGAACCCCATGTCCCCAGGTGGAAGCAGGACTAGTGAACAACTCCTGGTAGCCCAGTCCCCCAGCTTCAAGCAAGACATGTGCACAACTCCTGGTAGACCAGTCCCCCAGCTTAAAGCAGGACATGTGCACAACTCCAGGTAGACCAGTCCCCCAGCTTGAAGCAGGACATGTGCACAACTCCTGGTAGCCCAGTCCCCCAGCTTGAAGCAGGACATGTGAACAACTCCAGGTAGACCAGTCCCCCAGCTTGAAGCAGGACATGTGCACAACTCCTGGTAGCCCAGTCCCCCAGCTTGAAGCAGGACATGTGCACAACTCCAGGTAGCCCGGTTCCCCAGCTTGAAGCAGGACATGTGCACAACTCCAGGTAGCCCAGTCCCCCAGCTTCAAGCAGGACATGTGCACACCTCCAGGTAGAACGGTCACCCAGCTTCAAGCAGGACATGTGCACAACTCCAGGTAGCCCAGTCCCCCAGCCTCAAGCAGGACATGTGCACAATTTCAGGTAGCCAAGTCCTCCAGTTTGAAGCAGGTATAGGGCACAATTTCATGTAGCCCAGTCCCCCAGCTTCAAGCAGGACATGTGAACAATTTCAGGTAGCCCAGTCCCCGAGATTGAAGCAGGACTAGTGCACAACTCCAGGTAGCCAAGTCCCCCAGCTTGAAGCAGGACTAGTGCACAACTCCAGGTAGCCCAGTCCCCCAGCTTCAAGCAGGACATGTGCACAACTCCAGGTTTACCAGTCCCCCAGCTTCAAGCAGGACATGTGCACAACTCTACGTAGCCCAGTCCCCGAAGCTTCAAGCAGGACATGTGAACAATTTCAGGTAGCCCAGTCCCTGAGATTGAAGCAGGACTAGTGCACAACTCCAGGTAGCCAAGTCCCCCAGCTTGAAGCAGGACTAGTGCACAACTCCAGGTAGCCCAGTCCCCCAGCTTCAAGCAGGACATGTGCACAACTCCGGGTAGACCAGTCCCCCAGCTTCAAGCAGAACATGTGCACAACTCCAGGTAGCCAAGTCCCCCAGTTTGAAGCAGGACATGTGCCCAACTCCAGGTAGCCCAGTCCCCAAGCTTGAAGCAGGACTAGTGCACAACTCCAGGTAGCCCGGTTCCCCAGCTTGAAGCAGGACTGGTGCACCACTCCAGGTAGCCCAGTCCCCCAGCTTGAAGCAGGACGTGCACAACTCCAGGTAGCCCTGTTCCCTAGCTTGAAGCAGGACTAGTGCACAACTCCAGGTAGCCCAGTCCCCCAGCTTCAAGCAGCACTCGTGCACAACTCCAGGTAGCCCAGTCCCCCAGCTTCAAGCAGGACATGTGCACACCTCCAGGTAGACCAGTCCCCCAGCTTGAAGCAGGACATGTGCACAACTCCAGGTAGCCAAGTCCCCCAGTTTGAAGCAGGGCTAGGGCACAATTTCAGGTAGCCAGGTCCCCCAGCTTGAAGCAGGACATGTGCACAACTCCTGGTAGCCCAGTCCCCCAGTTGAAGCAGGACATGTGCACAACTCCAGGTAGACCAGTCCCCCAGCTTCAAGCAGGACGTGTGCACAATTTCAGGTAGACAAGTCCCCCAGCTTGAAGCAGGACTAGGGCACAATTTCATGTAGCCCAGTCCCCCAGCTTGAAGCAGGACATGTGCACAACTCCAGGTAGCCCAGTCCCCCAGCTTCAAGCAGGACATGTGCACACCTCCAGGTTTACCAGTCCCCCAGCTTCAAGCAGGACATGTGCACAACTCTACGTAGCCCAGTCCCCGAAGCTTCAAGCAGGACATGTGTACAATTTCAGGTAGCCCAGTCCCCCAGTTTGAAGCAGGACTAGTGCACAACTCCAGGTAGCCCAGTCCCCCAGCTTCAAGCAGGACTAGTGCACAATTTCAGGTAGACAAGTCCCCCAGCTTCAAGCAGGACATGTGCACAACTCTAGGTAGCCAAGTCCCCCAGCTTCAAGCAGGACATGTGCACAACTCTAGGTAGCCCAGTCCCCCAGCTTCAAGCAGGACATGTGAACAACTCTAGGTAGCCAAGTCCCCCAGCTTCAAGCAGGACTAGTGCACAACTTTAGGTAGCCCAGTCTCCCTGCTTGATGCAGGACATGTGCACAACTCCAGGTAGCCCAGTCCCCCAGCTTGAAGCAGGACATGTGCACAACTCCAGGTAGCCAAGTCCCCCAGTTTGAAGCAGGACATGTGCACAATTTCAGGTAGCCCAGTCCCCCAGCTTCAAGCAGGACTAGTGCACAACTCCAGGTAGACCAGTCCCCCAGCTTCAAGCAGGACTAGTGCACAACTCCAGGTAGACCAGTCCCCCAGCTTCAAGCAGGACTAGTGCAAAATTTCAGGTAGACAAGTCACCCAGCTTCAAGCAGGACATGTGAACAACTCTAGGTAGCCCAGTCCCCCAGCTTCAAGCAGGACATGTGCA